CACACACACACACACACACACACACACACACACACACACACACACACACACACACACCAATTATTACACCCATTGTAATGGCCATCACCTCTCCACACACAAAGCTCCCACTTCCTTAAACACTCAAGTAGGAAGGATTTTACAGAAATAGACGCGTGCAACAAAATGTTGTGCAGAGATTAGATCTTCAGGAGAGCTAGAGCCTCTAATTATCGCAAGGTTCAAGAGTATGTCACAACAAGTCAGGTTTATTTATACGCTGTGTGTGTAAATAGTATGCAAATTTTATTCATGCTGTATTATTATTATTCTCAAGTGCTCTCTGGTAAAATAAAGCATTTTTGAAGCTCACACCACAGTGTTTACTAAAAACAACATACATTTTAAATTTTCAGGGGTCAGTTTTATGGATCACAGCAGCAGGATTACACAAAACAGTTTTTTGTGTTTTAAATGAAAAATAAGAGAAATGTTGAATGATAGTGATTTAGAAGTTTTCACACGTCTTTTCAGAAACTGTTCTAAATAAAAATAACAACAAAGTCTGTTTCTTGACTCTTTTAAGTTCCAATCCCTTCCAGGTGATGTTCAAACAGCAGTACTTTTGTCACTATAGGACCCTCAGTTTTCTGATAAATGGGCCAGGCTTTCTTTCTTTCTTTTATTTTTTTACAACTCTAATTTCAATGAAGATGGGACATTGTGCAAACCATGAATACAACCAGACTGATACTTTGCTGTGGCTTCATAGTACGAGTGCAGGTACCTGCCTGCCTGCAGTCCAGATTTGTCTTCGGTGAAAATGAGAGCACAAAATAAACAACGGAGACCCCCGGACTGTAGAGCAAGTGAAGTTGTATCAAGCAAGAATGGGAAAGAGTTCCCCCTAAAGCTTCAACAATTAGTGTCCTCAGTTCCCAAATGCTTATTGAGTGTTGTTAAAAGGAAAGGTGATGTAACACAATGGTAAACATGTCCCTGTCCCAGATTCTTTGGAATGTGTTACAGTCTTCAAATTCAAAAAGAGTGAATATTTAAAAACAAAACAAAACAAAACAAAACAAAAACCATGAAGCTCCATTGAACATTGAATAGTTTGTATTTGTAGTTTATTGAGTGTGTTGAAAAGGATTTGAAAATCATATTTTGCTTTAACTTATGTTTTAAACAATATCCCATATTTGTTGAAACTGGGTGGTTTCACAAACTACACAACTGTAGAACAAAAAGTCCACCCATCTGCTTCATAAGAGTCACTCTCAGTCACATTTCACTTGTCAGTAGAGTGTTCTAAAAGTATAGCTTCAGCCATTTTTGGTTTGAAATGATGCTTTAGCTTGTGAATCTTGCCTTTCACTCAYGGACAATCATCTTTAAATCAGCCACTTCTCTGAGAACCAAACACCTCTATACTCCTGGACACTCAAGGTGGGATGCAGCTCTGGAGTACTGTGACACTGAAGCGACATCACATTATCATTTTTATACCTACTTTTCTTTGGTTGGTCACGATTGACTGTGATCTCTTCTTCTGTCTGCTGTTTTACAGTTCTGCTGTGTTTGGAGTTGGGGGGTGGGTACATCAGAGTCATCATTTGTTCAGTCTGCAGGATTTATTTATTTATTTTACAAATTATAGTTTTGCCTTGATTTGCTGTCAGTGCAGCACATCACACAATCAATCCCCAGACCCTGCATTCATATGACAAAGGCTCTCAACAAAAAAATAGTTCAACTAAAAGAGGCGCACACAAGCCTTTTCTAAAACAGCAATGCAACAGGATGAATGCACAGCTCATTAGAGACAGCGATAATCTTTGATGGGAGAAGACTGCTGTGTTTTTTTAGTTTTTTTGATGGAGCGAGCATGGAAATCACCAACTCAGAGGCCATTAATCTTTTCTTTTCTTCCCCTTACAGTAACATTTTCTTTGGCTTTCTCTTTTAGGTTTTGTCTCTTTAGAAAAAGGCGAGCACAAACACGAGTGCTAAGACATTAATACTGAAAAAGTAGGAAAATATACCCATCACATTGCAGTTTTGTAACCTTGGTATTGATTTGTATTCAAAGACCATTTGTCACAAGAGTTTATTTCTCAAATAGTTATGGGCATACAGCCTGTGATGATGCTCAGGATATTGTTTTTTACTCAGGTGTAAAGTTAGCCTAAAGTGCATACCTTAATTGATGGTCTTGTCAATCAATGAAATGAATCAATAAATGTGAAATTGAGTGTATGCTCTCAGGGTAAGTCAACAATAACAACACAACAATACACTTGCGCAGATATTGACACTGATTGTCCCTTGAGAAATACAGAGATCTGCCGGCATTTGATTACAAGTGTATGTCTGGAAGCTTGGAAACCATAAATAATATGGATTGCAAAGAGGAAGTCAAGGATACGCCCCCTTTCCTCTTTGAACGTGCACTGATCAGTTCAGCTCGAGCTCCTCTCTTTCAGCAATATCACAAATTCTACTGTGGCTATTTGATCGGTTTTCTGATGCTTTTTTTTTTCTTTAGTGATAAGCTCTCTTGGATCTCAGAGGGTGAAGTGTGTGGGGAAAAAAAGGGGGAGGGGTGTCTTATACTGTGATTGGCCACGTGCAGGAACGTAAAACCACACCAGGCTTGTCGGAGCAGCTGCGGTTTGTTACAGGTTGTGGGAACTGATTGCAGATGCAGATATTTGTCGCTCCTGCTCGTCCTTGCGTTCTGCTCACAAACTTAAAAAAATAAATAATTATTTTCTTCATTTTTTAATTCTTTTGCTCCGACATCCTCCCCGTTTCCACAGATAAGCGTGTCGCGCGCAGCGTTTCGGTGGCTCCTCCGCCACACAGCGAGAGGGTCCGCGCGCACATTTCAGCACGCTGGACAGCGCGCGGCGCCGCAGAGGCGGTGCGTGGATTCAACCGGTGGCTTTCAGCACGTTCACCAAAGTGAGAGGAGTGTTTCAGGCGGTGTTACATAAGGAAACTCTTCCTTCTCCACACGTGGGATCGCTGGTTTGATTTCTGGATCACGCGGAGCAGTAATTTATCTTTTACTCTCGCTCTCTTTTTTTCCTTCCTTTTTTTAAAATATAAAACTAACTCTGCCGTGCGGGAAGACGTGCCCAGCCGTGTGAGTGAGTGGGTTGACTCCAGAAACCGTGCTGACCAGCGTGGAATAAGGTGCCGACGAAAGACCCTCCATTTATAAGAAGGATGCTGTTGGGAAATGCCTGGAGACAGAGATGACGAGATTTGTCAAAAAGCACTTGAACTCCTGTCCGATCTTTGCTCGAAGGGGGAAGTGCAGAACGAAAACTGTCTGGAATTTATCTACTACTTCCGAGACCTGGCAAGGCCACGCTATTCGGATTCAGGTGAGACATCGTTTGCTTGAAACCTTAAGCTGCTCATGCGACTTCTTCTTCTTTTTTTTTCTTTCTTTTTTTTATTGAAAACCAAGCTCCCAAATACAATAGGTGACCAGAGATTTGCTGGATTGATTGTTCATCTTCTTATTGCTCTAATCCATCTGGAAATTCTGTCCATAGGCTTTTCCTCACGTTGTAAAGCTCATCAATTATCCATCTTAATTAAACCTTTACATACAGGGCTCTTTATCCCCATTAACTCCCATTCAAGCTGTATTAAACCACACTTAATAGATTAGTTCACTTCATTCTGCCCTCATGAGCATTTAGGATGAAGCTCATAAGATAAGAACCGGAACACTGCTTTCCTCCTGCCTGAGTGAATGTGCATGTCGCTCCAGTGAGGTGAACAGAGCGTCTGTGCTTTGAAAGTTTCCTTCAGATTTAAACCCTTGTCTGATATAAAACTGGAGTAGAATTTGCATTTATGTCCAAACAACAGTCGCTGAATCACACGAGAACAAATTAAGACCCCTATCATTATTTAGCAACACTTCAGGCTCACAATTTGACTAATGTGACTGKGTGAGTGCGTGCGTGCGCATAAAAAAGCATTCCACAGAGCGTGAGAGAGGCAATTGCTGCAATCAACCACATGCTCATTTCACGTGTTAGTTTGCATTATGAATATTTATTCACCCCTTCAGGTTTCAGACTTTCTCACCCTTGCTGTCACTCTGCTCCCCCTCCTCATCCATACTTAAACTTATTTTCTCTTTTTCCCCAAACGGGTCCTCTTCCATCTCCTCTCCTATAGGCAGTTCTTGACTTGTCTTTTCCATTGTGCTGACAGATTGGAAAGTGGAGCTGCGGATGGACAGTGGGGTTATCTATCACCAATGTACACATAACGTTTCATTTGAGATTTTTACAGTAGCTGACAGGTCATTCAATATAATGACAGCATCCCGGATGGAATGATAGACAGAACTGAAGGCAGGTCATGCAGAGCAGAAAAGTCAGGGTTGGCTCAAGTTTTCTCTTATTCAAAATGCAAAAAAAAAAAAAAAAAGGTGAGTTTGTATTTCATGGGCGATTTGTGCTGAAACATTTTTTGGTCTTCTCAGGTTTTGGTCATGTTCATGCTACTTCATGAAGACCAACCATGTGAATTGGAGTGCTTACAATATCATCTTTTTGTTTAAATGTGTGTCAAAAATGCAAGCTCATCAGCAATTTCTGGATATTTAAACAAACATACTGTACATAAAACAAAGGTAAATAAATTTATGAGGATTATAATGAACTCCCTGAATAAAAAAAAACATTCATAAAATGCTCACTTACAAGACACAGCATGTGTTTAACAGTTAAGTGCTTCTTTGTGCAGCACAAAATCTGCTACTTTTATATTTTTTTCTTGTTAACCACAAACTAATAAATGCATGCAACTAAGCTCCTTTGAATATAAAACCTAACAGCAGGCCAGCCCTTATGTCTAATCAGTCATCACCACATTTGTAAGACTCTATGCCTGGAAACTAACTTTTTAACATAACTGTAACATTTGGCATGAAAGTGAATCATTTTCAGAAATTATGTTTTAAAATACAAAACAAAACCATTATGGTGGTAGTCAGCACACATCCCTTTTCAGTTCTTGCTCACCTCCTACATTCTTGCAGCACCTTTGAAGGTCTTGTGCTCTAAATTTAGTCCATCCTCTTTTGGGGTGATATTGTGTCTGAAGCCCCCCTCCAGATGTCTACAGATTCTTCTCCAGCAGGCAGCACTGAGGCAGGCTGCCAAGCTGACACTGGGCTCAGTGTCCTCAGATGGCAACAAATCCCTCAGTTTCTCCCAAATCACACTTACTCTGGTGTTCTCAGAATCTCACAGCACAGAAAGGACAGTTGGTCTGAGTTCCTGTGCTAACTCCTATGACTGCGCCTACACACAGAGCCAGTCCTGCATGAAGCAAAGCTGCTGGATTGTTACCTTAAATACAACATCAAATATACAGTAAAAGCAAAAAAAAAAACTATTTCTTCCAAGCCAGTCTTCTTTTGTAATTACTCGGACAAACACTCTTTTAATATGCCTACTTTTAGCTTTTAGCATGCCATTTGTTTTATACCTCATTTCATATCTTTGCACTATGTCAGGCAGATTAAAGATGATTTTTAGGTTGCATAAGGTGCCTATTGATGTTAGCTATNGTGTCAAAAATGCCAGCTCATCAGTAATTTCTGGATATTTAAACAAACATACTGTACATAAAACAAAGGTAAATAAATTTATGAGGATTATAATGAACTCCCTGAATAAAAAAAAACATTCATAAAATGCTCACTTACAAGACACAGCATGTGTTTAACAGTTAAGTGCTTCTTTGTGCAGCACAAAATCTGCTACTTTTATATTTTTTTCTTGTTAACCACAAACTAATAAATGCATGCAACTAAGCTCCTTTGAATATAAAACCTAACAGCAGGCCAGCCCTTATGTCTAATCAGTCATCACCACATTTGTAAGACTCTATGCCTGGAAACTAACTTTTTAACATAACTGTAACATTTGGCATGAAAGTGAATCATTTTCAGAAATTATGTTTTAAAATACAAAACAAAACCATTATGGTGGTAGTCAGCACACATCCCTTTTCAGTTCTTGCTCACCTCCTACATTCTTGCAGCACCTTTGAAGGTCTTGTGCTCTAAATTTAGTCCATCCTCTTTTGGGGTGATATTGTGTCTGAAGCCCCCCTCCAGATGTCTACAGATTCTTCTCCAGCAGGCAGCACTGAGGCAGGCTGCCAAGCTGACACTGGGCTCAGTGTCCTCAGATGGCAACAAATCCCTCAGTTTCTCCCAAATCACACTTACTCTGGTGTTCTCAGAATCTCACAGCACAGAAAGGACAGTTGGTCTGAGTTCCTGTGCTAACTCCTATGACTGCGCCTACACACAGAGCCAGTCCTGCATGAAGCAAAGCTGCTGGATTGTTACCTTAAATACAACATCAAATATACAGTAAAAGCAAAAAAAAAAACTATTTCTTCCAAGCCAGTCTTCTTTTGTAATTACTCGGACAAACACTCTTTTAATATGCCTACTTTTAGCTTTTAGCATGCCATTTGTTTTATACCTCATTTCATATCTTTGCACWATGTCAGGCAGATTAAAGATGATTTTTAGGTTGCATAAGGTGCCTATTGATGTTAGCTATTCTTTAGAAAATGGTACAAATGTGGGTTAATGTGGGTTCAGGATTATCTGCTGATAGTGTGCAATGATTAAAAATAAAATAAAATTGACAGTTTGGAAATTATTGACTAATAAACTCCCCATGCCCATTTGAAAACAAAATGATCCTATTGTTCACCAAACACTGCTCTCATGTTCGAAAACTAGTGTGCCAACTGTAATACAAAAGAGGGTTGTGCAGCTTTTAAATTAGCTAAAAATAARGTATTCTAGACACTGCCAAGGAAAAATCCCTCTTTTTTTTACTGTGAATTGGCCAACAAGCTTTGTGAAGTACTGCATCTCATTACACGCACTATCACTCTTATGCTACACTGCTTATTATGAAAATGATGGCACACTTGTCACTTTCAAAAAACAAAAAAACAACAAAAAATAAATAAAACAAAGAAATAAAAAAATAAAGAAAAAGGAGAAAGAGAGAAACAAAAGATGCTGACATCTGATTTGCTTCCAAAGATACACATAATGATGAAGCTATTTCTTCTGCATGCCTTTTTTGGAAAATCCATGAAAATTGTCATCAGCATCYTCCACACACATGAAAAAATAAACAAAACAAAACAATTTCCTCTGTAGTGGCAGGCAACTAATAGCTTGTTGCACAGTCAGCATACAGACAGAGAATAAGTCTGTATCGGTGACACCATATATCCGAAAATAGACACGGTCAGGTGGATACAGCTGACTGATGCTGTTTAAAATACACTCTACAAAAACCTGGGCTGTTAGATTTCCTGTATCAATGGGAGCCATTTAAATACTTTAAGTTAAAGTGAGCACTGAGGAGTAAAAGTCCACGAGAGACTTGCTTTGCAACAAGACATCAGATGTATTTACAAATCAAGTGACTGCATTCAGTCTGAGAGGATGATGGGCGGCCTACACGCTTTAATACTTGATGGTGGAACAGGACAAATGGAGCTGACACATTGGGGACTGTGCTGTGGAGGAGTATGAAACAAGTGTAACGCCTAAAGTAAAACAGTGCATCAGCATGATCTTGTTTGTTTGAAATGAGATACAAGCATTTTGATCAGCGGGTTGAGTGAACGGGACGGTCAGTGCCMCAGTCTTGTAMTCCTGAGGCTGCGGGTTTGAGTTCTGCCTTTCCAGGAAAGGCATCAGGCATAAAACAATCACCAAATCTACTATGTAAGTTAGCTGACTGTGTCAATATCTGCGAGAGAGAGAGAGAGAGAGAGAGAGAGAGAGAGAGAGAGAGAGCGGGGGGGTGGGGCAACGAGGACATTCAGTTCAATTTTTTAGTTATAGTGTTTCAAGAGCATTCATGTGCAGAAGTGTGCTGATGATGACCAGAGAGAGTACATTGATGAGGTTGACACATAAACAAAATATATGTGTTTCACAACAGTCCTTATTGATTAGTTTTTTGTTTGACCAGGAGAAAAAAAGGCTGATTAATCCTGCCAAACTGGGGATGTGACCTCTCCTTTTTTTATCCACAATTTCCTCTTGAGCTGTTGTACTGTTTTTTTTCCTTTCACTTCAAGTTGTTCTTTTTTTATTTCGAAGCAGTTATGAGGCACGATAACCAAACATGAAATTGCTGCTGCGCGTGTTACTCAGCAAATTGGTGCTATCTTACTAAAGTGTGAGTGAGTTAGCTGATGCCACTGACCATGATTAGCTGAGAGGTCGAGCAGCTGAAGCCTTTCCACTTTCTACATCTCCCAAATGCCACGTGGTTCTGCACTGAAGTTCAGTGAAATTATTCACATTCTGTTGGACAAACTTTCTATTGATTTCAATCATATCTGTCACAATAAATATGTTTATTTTTTTTCTATTGCTATTGATCACATATGGCAAGGTATATTGCTTTAAATTTATTACCCAGTCCTAGAAGCCTGTTCTTTTTTGAGGAAAATGGATGTTGTTCAATCCTAAGGATCAAGGCTGTGGCTTTTAAATTATCCCCTGGACTTTGTCTGGTAAAATAAATGGGAAACATACCATTGAAACACACAAGACAGAATTTTTTTCTGGAACCRTCTATTACTGTTCAGAGCCAGAGAGGTCTGTTGATTTCAGTAATCAAATGGGCCAGAAACAGCACAGACACTGGACAGGTCATTAGTCCATCACATGGTGAACACAGACTCATAAGACAAGAAACCATGCAGGCACACATCCACACCCTGATGTAAGTAACACAATTAAATTAAACATTTGCAAATTAATGTAGATAAAGAAAGTAACATAAAGTGTCAGGATTTGGGTAGACAGCAGCAGCAAAAATACATAAATTCATAGAAAAACATTCAATCAACTAGATCATGCATTAAGATGAGTTAATTAACAAGTAGCCTATCAGCATTGATTTTCAATCCATTCAACATCTGGCATGAACCTTCAAATTTAATCTTCTCTGTCCTTTAAAATTATTGCRGAAAAACTCTCTGAAAGATGACCTACAATTATATGCATTTATTTTATTCACTATTTGAACCTCCTATCTGACATACAGTATAAAAATGAATGTGCCACAGACTGCAATTTGCCTTTTTTGCTGATAACAAAAGAGAAATTGTGCTCTGAAACAAAAGTGGCTGTGGCTCTCTGCTCATAGTATAGACTTGCACACACAAACAACAGCCATGTTTCTATTATTTTTTATGCACATTTTGAAGCATCACATTAGAAAATGTGGATGGAAATGATAACATTCGCAAAAACTTACTCAGTTTTGCAAAGTTTTTACACTCGCTTGAGGTGGATTTTGAATTTTTTGAAAAAGAGTTAACGCGCAAAAGAAGAGATGGAAACATATTAGCTGAGTAAGTTGTGACAAAGTGAACGTTTACCTCGATCAGCTGTTCCTGCTGTCCAATWATTGTAGTTGCTGTGGCTGCAGCTGGACCCTCCTCCCTCTATCAGCATTTTCCTGGATATTCCCGTGACATGAAGACTTTTCTACATCTCCAACWTGTAATATTGCCAATACTAGTTGATATGACAGAATAATTACAACTTTCCTGATAGAAGCAACACGTTCCTGATAACTTCTCTCCATTGTCCCGAGCAACTTTACTTCCTGTTTACAACAGCCATGCATAACWTCAATGTCTGACGTAACTACGCTTTGTGCAGCCTGATTGATTTGCTCSAAGCCATTTGATAGAAACACGTCTGATGCGCATTTCTTTTTTGCAACATTTTAAAAGTTTGYTCAAAAAGCACATTAAAATTGAAATTGAATTGAAACAGACACGGCTGGTATAACATCGTGAAGAAATTGAACTGTTTACTTTATTGTATGTTTTTTTTAACATCGTTAATTGCTAAAATGATAAAAAGCAACTGCTATGTTTGAAATGTACATACAGTATTAGCATGTCATATCCAGGCATCTCATTCTTGGTTTTAGTTTGTCATGTATAAATTATGGTTTCAAAGAATCTAACACTGAATATTCTCAATGTGCACTTGTCTACACCAACACATGGTGTGCGAGTCACCATGGAAAAGGAGATGAAGTGTGAACCAACTGAGTTGTCAGTTTTCTGACTCATTTCTGCTCTGTAAAACTGAAGTTTTATAAAAAGGCATTCTTCTTTCACGATCAGGTACAAAGAAGACAGGAAATGAGTGTAAAAGCAGCTAAAGTAAAAATCAATCAATCAATCAATCAATCAATCAATCAATCAATCAATCAATCAATCCACCCATTGGAAAGCATGCAAACTACTGATCAAGACACTGAAAAGATTACAAGAAATTTTGGCTCCTTGGCTTCAGTGAAACTGTAACACTTTATAGGCACCATTTCTTCACATTTTGTTGAATTTGGAACAACCATTTCTGCATTATATCTGAATAAAGACATCTACCTTTAATTCAACATTATCCSTACCTGTCCTGCCTTGCCTGCTGGTGTTGATCAGAGGGCTCRGTGGCACCACTGGTGCATGGCAGCCCCACCTCTGTCAGTGCGCCCCAGGGCTCTCTCATACAAGAACATTCACATTTTACAAAGAAAGGTCCCCACCAACAGTTTAATCTCTAAACTTCTTGTTGTGAGCCAACAAGGCTACATCCACCATTATGTAGCTCTTCATTTATTATGCATTTACTAATTTGCATTTCAAATTTTAAACTTTGGGATAATTTAGTTAAATTAGCCCACTTATTAATGCTTTACTCATAAAGGCKAATTTCTTTCAAAACCAACACACTCTGTTTTTTCATGCTTAATAGCGTCTGAATTAGCTATTCTATATGTTGTGTGTATGTATGTAAGTGATGAGAAACTAGAACATACATAAACACTGTACATAGAATAGTTAATTCATGAGTTATTAAGCATGCATGAACAATGAGTATTATGGTTTTGGGTAACTAACCATTTAATAATGACTAAACAAGGTTAAATAATGTGTAGTTATTATAAAGTGTTACCAGAACACTGCTGAAACTGAGGAAATAAACAGTTTTATTCCCTGTCCTTGTTTTCCAGCAATAAATAAATAAATAAATAAATAAATAAATAAATAAAACAATGTACTGACATGGGTGTAAAATTCGGTAGAATCTCACTGTCTAATTCTGAATTTCCATCTCTTTTCAATCTCTCAGATATATCGGTGAGTCTACTGTCACTGGTAGTGACAGCCTGTGGTTTGGCCCTGTTTGGGGTTTCGCTTTTTGTCTCTTGGAAACTCTGCTGGATACCATGGAGGGAACGAGGGCTTTCCCCCACCACAAAGGAGGCTCATGGGCACATCAACCCCACAATGAGCCCACCGCCCTCACAACCTGCACCCAGACAGCCAGTTTACACAGCCGTGGACCCTCCAGTACTCAACCGACGTAAATCATCACACTGCTCTGTCACCAAAGAGCCCATGCCTGTGGCGTCTGTAGTGTCAGTGGAGGCTCCAATGACTCCTGTATCACCCCCACCTGTTGTCATGGCCACACCAGAGGCAGCTATGAAGATAAGTCACACATCTCCAGACATACCATTAGATGCCCAAAGTAAAACTCAAGAAAATGGGGTCCACACTAACCCTCGTATGCAGAGGCAGACCACTGAACCAGCACCAGGTGGTTGCTCAGTGTCTGAAATGGGGTTAGTATAAACTATACTGGTTTTACTTGTATTTGACTGCCTTTTAAAATGTTTAACATAACTCGTTTTTTTTWAATTATGACAAATGGATAATATTTACCTAAATATATTCTCACAGTACAAATAACTCTGTTGTTTATTTCCTTTGTCCACAGTCAGGGTTCCATTCGCAGACATATGAACCTCTCAAACCCAGACTTTAATGTGGCACAGTTTCAAAGGCAGGACTCTCTGACTGGAATGGGTTTGGGCCTTGGCCGCCTCAAACCGGAGCTCTACAAGCAACGCTCTCTCGAGGGGGAAGACGGCACTCGCAGAGGTGGAGGTTGTGGACGCCTCCATTTTATTCTCAAATTTGATTGTGACTTGGAACAATTAATAGTTAAAATCCACAAAGCAGAGGACCTCCCAGCCAAGGACTTTTCTGGGACCTCTGATCCATATGTTAAGATCTACCTGCTGCCTGATCGTAAGACCAAGCACCAGACCAAAGTACATCGCAAGACGCTCAATCCTGTATTTGATGAGGTCTTCCTGTTTCCTGTGGCGTACTCTGAGCTTCCCACTCGAAAGCTGCACTTCAGCGTCTACGACTTTGATCGTTTTTCCCGTCATGACATCATTGGTCAAGTGGTGGTCGACAGCTTTTTGGATCTGGCAGATTTCCCCAGGGAGACAAAACTTTGCAGAGAAATCCAATATGTCTCCTCGGTAAGTCAGTAATGCTGGTTACATTTCTGTCACACATTTGTACTAACATTAAATAAAAATAGACGTGAATTTACTGTATGACTACTACAAGTAAGACCTATAGAGTGATAATTATAAAACTACAGATCAGGGCTATTCAAATAAATTGCCTGGGGCCACAAATGTTGCTCGATAATGGTAGAAGAAATTCTGCATTTTGAAAAAGAGCAAATATTGTAGTCTTTCACCTGTTAAATTTGTTTTGGATACTTATATAAGTGTAAGTTTTGAAATGACTGTTACTTCACAAATGGTCAAAAAGTGACAAACAGGGGTTTGTTAAACACATTAATTACAGCTGAAAATAATAGTTAAAAAACGTTTGTTAGCCTGATTGTTTTCTGCTCTAAATTGTGATTTTATTTGAGTAAAAGAAAAAAAAACTTTAAATGTTATTTTTAATAACACAAATGACAACTATCATTATTTCTCAACTCATCCTTTATTCACTCTGACWTTTGGCTATAGAGGGTTTTTCTTGTCACATCTACTGTTAGGGAAGATTAATTGACTCTCAATGCCTAMTATTCTCAGACGCAAAAGTCCATTTGATCGTGTCACAGCATGAGTCAGATCAGTGTTCTTCAATACTGTCATGACCTGACAGKGACATTTTCATCCATGGCATTACCACACTCCTCTGTTAGAAATAGGCTTGCCCCAACAATCAAATGTGCATGTGTGAAATTGTAGGGGTTTTTTCTTATCCATGCATGACATCTGTGTAATAAAGTCACAGGGGTTGACTGAAGAGTTACAAAATTATCAACAAACCTTTAGATTATTTCAGCCAAACATGAATGATAAGAATAATTAAAGAAAAAAATATGTGGATGCTTTGTGTTTATGATTGTCATTTAATGTCCTCTCAACCCTAAAAATTGCA